TTTTTGGGGGCACATTCTACTTTGTAGTTGCCAGATTTTCATGAGCTAAACAAGGAAAGTGTTAAATAGAATACACTTAGTTACCCATAGCACATGGAATCTAGAGCCTACTACATTCCACAACACATAAAATCTAGTCTTTAGAAAAGACACCCACTTGACAAATGTATTCTTTTATGGTGTTCCATCCTTTTTGTTGAAGAAGCCTCAAGATCCATTTTGAAGTAAAACAATGTCCCCAGAGTTTTGCTGGCATAAACTTGTAAATTCCTTCTGTGTGTGGAGTTTCACTGACAAACTAACAAATCCTATGTGTGTGTGTATGCGTGTGTGTGTGTGTGTGTGTGTGTGTGTGTGTGTGTGTGTGTGTGTGCGTGTGCGCGTGTATATGTGGGAGGAAATTTTCACAGACTGATTTTTAAAATTTTGTCTCCCAGTACATGATGGGATCCACTTCTAGTTACAGATGTGGATATTATGAGAGGTTGGTTACGGAAATATTTATTATATTTTTTCTTCAAGGGAACAACTTCAGGCAAAGAACTAGTAGTATCATTAAGCAAGGGGGAAAAAGGCACCATCAGACAAGGAAGGGGGATTTTCTGAGCAAAGACACCTCATAGAAAATACTTATTAGTGGCTTAGGATGATAGACTACTCAGTGTCCTCTGAACATGCTGAGATAACCCCATTTACATTGTTTTACCACACAGCATCCCTCTGGACATCCTCACCCTAGGACATAGGGCAGGAAGGAAGACTTTAAATCAGACAAAGATTTTGTAAAGACAAGACATAAACTGTCAGGGGAACACTTAGGATCCAGGTGCATATATTGGTACCCCACAGTTGACTACTTTTTACCCTGGCAAAGAAGGCATAGCCTGAGAGCTGGTTCCCTATGGTCCTCACCCTAAAAGGAACCCAAGAAGACATGACTTGCCCCCTTCATCCAGAGCTATCAAAATTCTTACCCAAAAAGGAAACTTGGAGAAAAACAGTTCTATTTAGACAGCAAAAGGAGAAAGTTATGAGTATGAATTGACAACTTGATAACTTGAGTATGAATTAACAACTGCAGCATGGATGCTGATTGTCTCCCATTATCCACTGTTTTCTATCATTATAGAACCCTGATTTTTAGTAAGTCATAATGGCTACTCAAAATAAAGACTATATTTTCCAGCTGTCCTTGAAGTTAAATTGTGGAAATGTGATGACGTTCTTACCAGTGGGATGTAACAAGAAATGATGTGCTCATCTTCTTGGAAAGAGCATGTCGTCATTCTCCGGGCATGCTTCCTTTGGATAAAATGCACATGTAATAGCTGAATGAATGACCAGTGAGTCAATGTTGAGAATGGTATCCATGTGCATGGAAGCTAAAACAAAAGGAGCTGAGAATCTGACACTATGGAACGTTATTCAAATTTTGTATTTTTTTCTGTTACTAGCAGCTGAATCTAATGCTATTTAACAGAGCAACCAGTAGGCTCCATTAAGCTACATAAAAGAGAAATGTCAACATTAACAAAGGAAAAACTTTTTCTGTATGAAAAGATAATTTAAGGAAAAAAGACAACTTCAAAAACCCAATTAATATATTCAGAGATAATTACAAGATATTACATTAATTAAAAGTCTATAAAAAAGAGCAATCAAAAAACAAGAGCTGTCAAAGATTAAGAATATGACTCCTCTCATCTACAAAAAAATCAATTAAAGACTGAAAAATAATATTGTCAAACATTTCTAGACTTCAGAATAAAAAGCCAAAAATAATGGATATGAAACAAAAAGACCAGCAATAACAAAGACAAATCTAGGAGATCTACAATCAATAAACAGAATCATAGGAAAAGATAACAGAACAGATGAGACAATGAAATTATGTTTTAAAAAATATAAAACAATTATGTAAACCTGAGGAAGAATGGGAGTACTCAGCTGAAGGTTTCTGACTAGGGAATCCTATGAAATGTCAGAGAAAAAAAAAAAAAAAGGAAAAATAGAGTGACAGTCATTATGACCATTCAGGAATATCTGGTTCTTCTTACAAGGTATGGTCAGATATCTGCTGTCTTAAATTGAGCCATTTGAGTTGTTGTGGCCAGCGAAATGTGAGAGGAATTGATGGATATCAATCTGGGGGAAGCCTTTAAATCTAATGTGCAACTTACTCTCATTATGTACTCTCACACTTCAGGTGGTAGAGAACCTCTCAACCTGATTCTGCTGTGATGATAGTACAGAGCAAAACCCAAAGCTGGCTTGTGATGGTGACATACTGTCTTCAAGAAATAAACTGTTTTGTTTTAGGTCAATTAGATTTGTGACTGTCCCTATAGACACGAATCTTACAAGGAGGCCACATACAAAAGAAGGAAATTAAAACTGGCACTAGGTTTCTCATAATGAACACTGGACACTAAAAAAATGAGTAAAATAACACCTTCTAAACTCTTAAGGGAAATGATGGTTAACCTAGAATGTTCAACCCTGCCAAATGACCATAGTAAAAAATACATTGTCAGACATGAAAGAACTTAATAATTTATCACATATCTTCATCCTTCAGATAATATTTGGGGGGTGTGTTCAGTAGAACACCTGAGTAAAACAAGAATGATTCTGAATAATTTTCATATTGCAATTGACGATTGGGATATCAAAAACACTTTGAGAACAATTATGGAAAGAAGTTAAGATGTATTGGCTTCCATTAGGGCATTACCGTTTGCTCCTTGGGGAAGGTGACATAACCTAAAAACCTTTCTCCAGAGCAAGATCAGAACAGGGCACTCTAGATATTATAGTCAGTAATAATATGCAAATGAGCAACTGCATCATCTCCCCTTCCCCCTCCAACTCTAGGTGGGGAAGGGAGAGAAATCAACTGGAAGAATTATATAAGCAAGAATCAGTTAGAAGAACCTCTCTATTGTGTCATTCATTCCATTGATGCAAAAAATATGTTTGAGCACATACTGCGCACAAATACGTATGCTATCCCAGGGAATTCAGGAAAAAAAAAAAAAAAAGACAGTCTTTTAAGGAGCTCACAATTGTTCAGGGAGATTGGCTCATATAAGCCAAGCACCATGCAAAGTAATACTGACATAATAAAGGTAGGTCTAAGAGGAAGGAGTAGAGAAAGGGAGAGATTAATTCTGTGTGGTGAAAGATAGGGGTGCTCTAAAGTCCTCAAAGCTTTCTACAGGGCCTGAGTCCCTAATAAAGTTGCTCCTGAAACTGGATCCTTTGGTTGTAGGAAACAGTTTCCTTTTTTGTTTAAGCTAGTTTTTCTGTCACTTGCAAACAAAGTTCGCTAGCTGAATTTCCTAGTTCTAAGGAATCTAATGCTAAGCAGAAGGAAAGAGAGAATTAGTCAAAGAACTGCCAGTGGAAAAAACAGTAAGCAGGAGGAATAAGTCCAAAGAGGCAGGAAGAAGACACCTAAAAAGGCAACTAAAGGAATCTCCTGTGAGAAAGGAAGGTGTGGCCAGTATCGGTGGCTCAGCCTGTAATCCCAGCTCCTTGGGAGACCAAGGTGAGTGAATTGCGTGAGCCCGCGGGTTCGAGACCCGCCTGGGTAACTTGGCGAGACCTCATCTCTACAATAAATCAAAAAATTAGCCGCGCGTGGTAGCGCGCGCCTGTAATTCCGGCTACTTGGAAGGCTGAGGCTGCGGTGTGGCCGGAAGCGGCCACTGCACTCCAGTCTGGGCGACAGAGTGAGACTCCAACTCAAAAAAAATAAAAAAAATTAAAAAGGAAAGAAAGAAAGAAAGAAAGAAAGAAAGAAAGAAAGGAAGAAAGGAAGAAAGAAAGAAAGGAAGGAAGGAAGGAAGGAAGGAAGGAAGGAAGGAAGAAAGAAAGAAAGAAAGAAAGAAAGAAAGAAAGAAAGAAAGAAAGAAAGAAAGAAAGAAAGAAAGGTGTATGCAATTCACAAATCTCGAAGGCAGAAAAAGCAGCCAGGACTTGAACAGAGTTCACACAGGTCATAGTGGAATTGTGTTAAGATGACGCTGAAAACTGCGAGATGAATTCATGAAACTAGAACGAGGCTTACAGTAGCAGGGAATGGGGTGGAGCACAGTTACAGGTAGTCATGGTGATCATTTGAATGTGTAAGGTAAACTGACTTGGTGGACATAATTTAGTAATTTGTTGCAGCAAATTAGATGTTGGAATGAAAGGGTGATTATAGTTGTTATGCTTATACTCCAAATAGAATCGATTTATGGCTAATAGAATGACTTGCGTGAGCAGTATTTTGATATTAGGCAATGAATAAATGCGCGTGAAAGTAGGCATCTGTATTTGAGAAGTAATAAGCAACAATACTCACTCGCTTGCCTTGTAGGTGAATAGGGAAATGAACAAGGAGACTCACTTCCTTGCGTTCATATGTGAGAAAAGAGATGGAATGATGGGCAGAGATGAACAAGATAACATTTAATTAGTGTAAATATAAAATCCCGAGTTTCAGGTAAAAAAACATTTTTTTAAAGGGACATACTATACAGAGACCTTGAGTATTTAGTAGGCCACAACCCAAAACTGAATTATCTTTCTGGCGACAGAATTGGAAAAGGTATTTGTGTGGGTTCTGACTGCCACAGAGGCTGAGGAAGAGGAGAAGGAATGACTTAGCTAGATGGATCAAGCGGCATCAAGTCACGGGGATCATAAATGACAAGCTCAGCGTTTTTCCATCAATCCTGTGGACAAAAATAAGAATGTTGCATAATATTGAGAATGCAGTGCCGTGAAGGAAATCAAAGTGGCGAATTCGAAGCCGTTGGGTTATGCGAACTCATTTCCAAACTGGTTTAACTTCTGAAAGCTGACCGGCTTGAAAAGCAGCTCGGTCTGGAAGCCCCGCCTAGCCGTTAGAAGCTCCACCCCCACCAGGTTCTGCCCTTACTCCCAGAACAGTTTAGGGGCTGCGCCAATCGCGAGCCCCTGTTTAGCATAACCCCGCCCCCAAAGCCCCCGCCCCCTTGTTTCCCTGGAGACGCTCTCGGCGTCCTCTCTGTTCGCCCCGGCGGTGCCAGGCAGCCGAACCAACGCGGGAGGAGGGGGCAGCGCGGCGCCAGCACCTGCTACCGGTGGGCGACTCACTTCGGCGAAACAGGAAGCTGGAGTTGCTCCCCAGGGCCAGTCCACCGAGGTTCGTGATGGCTGGAGAGAGGCTGGCGACAGGACTTTCTCAGCTCCTTGCAGGGGCGAGCTGTTCTTCCAGGCAGTCTGTTCCCTTATCCCTACAGACCTTCCACAGTCATTTCTTCTCAGGCGTCCTGAGTCTAGGCCCGCCATTCACCTTAAGAAAGGAATGAAAGGAGGGGCAAAGAAAAGCACTCTTCTTGATCCCAGTGCACCTGTTCTTCTGAGGACAGGGGAAAATTAGCGTGGGAATAAATCTATTAGTCCTGTTAAGAAGTAGGTGGGAACTGGGCCGGGCACAGTGGTTCATGCCAGTAACCCTGGCACTTTGGGAGACTGAGGCCAGAGTTTGAGACCATCCTGGGCAACACAGTGAGATCCTCGTCTCTATATTTGTAGATGTTTTGTCATTTCACTCAGTTCATCTAAACTTAGTATTTGTTGTTTGAATGAATCTTATTCCTTGACTAGGGGCAGGGAGAAGAGGTGTTCTGTTGACTGGTTTTAAACTTTTTTTTTTCTCTTCTTTACCATTATTCTTTGCTCTCTGATTTTCAGGCTGAAGTCTATAAGCCTAGGGAGACCTTCAGCAGCCATCTGCAAATGTAAGTCAAGTGAAATGTGCCTTCAAACACTTTCCTGCTTTATTGTGATTCAACCATCAATAAATGTCAGTTGGTAAGAAATACATGATTTCTATTTATTTCAATTAGCAACCTATCTAATTACTCACCATAGAATGCTAAAAGTCTCTAAAAAGAATGCTGTAAGGGACAAACACTATATAATGACTCTTTAAACTTATGTGAATTATTTTTTGCTTTTTAAAGGAACATAATTGGTGACATTTCTTCTGTGGTTTTCTTTAAACTTTCATAGTGGAAGAGCTTGTGGTGGTAATAGAAGTTTTCATTCTTGTTGAATGTTTTTAGGAAAATCACATTTATTTTGAACTCTCTTGATGTTATATAATAAATCTGCTTACTGTGGTTCATTGGCTTTATTTCTCTCATCTCCGTTTTTACCCCAAAGATACTGAACCCTGGAGACACTGGTCAACCTCAGACATAGTCACTCCCTAAGTAGCCTCCGTCTACATAGTGGTAGGCCTTCCTCCTTTGTGTTTCTTGATGAAGGCATCTCTGGGGATAGAGGGCAGGAGGGTTACTCTTTGAAGAATTTTACTTGGGGGCCAGAAATTTAAACGCACACCATGGGACACATTCAGCCTGACCTAGCACTCTCAAACCTTTCATCCTGTGTTTCTCCATTCTCACTTGTCTTTGCATGTGGGGGCCAAACTTAGAGACTATAACTGTGATACAAGAGCCAACCAGCAGATCAAAGAATGCACCAAATCTCCTCTGAATACCAACAGGGGAATGGCTTCAGGCGGCCTTTTGATCTTTGTCTCAGCACCCGTGATCCCACATGTAGCACTGCCCACTTGCTGGCACTGGGAGAGCCGCCTCTGGGTCCTCCTAACAGACGGCTTCAGCCTGGGCTCCTGGGGCTAAGCTTGTTTTGGTCCCAGTCCAAGAGGTACCTTTTCCTCTCCTTCTCCTTTACTCACCTGAACCTAAGTAATTTCTCTTCCTGCAGCCACACCCATCTTGTGAGTTTTCATCTGTGATATTGAACGAGGAGAACCCTGAGGAAGTGCCATAGCTAATGTTGTTTGTACTGTTCCTGCTACAGACCTAGGTCAGTCTTCCCAGAACATCTCATCCCTTATTGTTGAGTCTAGGTTGGAGCTGGGACTCACCTAGGAGCTGGGAACGCTACCTGACCACACCAGGAAAATGATGCAATTCACATTAACAAGGAGAACAAAAAGCTTTCTTTATCCTATAAGTATAATTTAAACTTGAAATGACAGGCTCCCAAACATGCCTGCATTTTGTTCCCACTTTTTCCTCCCCCCACCTCCCGTTGCCTCTATAAGCTAGAATACAGCTACTTCCTTCTTCAAGAAAATTCCACATAAATAAGACTGAACTTACAAGGTGTTAAAAAAAGATGGTGATTACTTAGATAAGAAATTAATTTGTTGCAGGATCTCCTTAGATATTTGGTGTATTCCAAATATTATGTGTGTCATAAAATTCAGATTACACATTATCTACTGTGAAAATAAAATACCCTTTATGGTCAGGTATTGATTATGAGGAAAACAAACAAAAGAAAACAAAGAACAACAACCATAAAAAACCCCTTTCTCAACATACATAGGCAAGGTAGGATGTAGGGTCTGGAAGCAAGGAGAGAGCCTGTTCAACTTCCACCCTAACTCTGGGCTTAAACTCTCCAGCATAGATTGGTGGAGGATATTTTTTCCAACATGCAGTTAATAACTACTTTTCTACTTTATCATTCCGCTCTGACCACCCCTCATTCAGAGTTTGTGCCTTGAGGCTTGCCAGCAGGGCTTGCAATACTTACATTAAACTAAATTTAAGAGTAAAGGTGCTCCTGCTGCTAATGTTCTCAGATCAGAGAAGAGCAAAATGAAGGAACTGGCAGCTGAAACTTTAATAGTAGGAAACGTTGACTCAGAATCTGAAAGAAAAGAATATCGCAGTTGATCTGTGTGACAAAGAAGACATATCCCTCTCCATGTATGTCATTTGCATTTGATTTCATTGGATGCTTGTATTTTCTAACAAAAATCATCTAACTCAAGTAAACATCAAAAAGGGTAAATTTTATGTATACACGGGAAGGCCAACTTTTGTGGGGTACTCGGTGATAAGCACCTCCATGGAATATGTTTGCTAGATCAGTTTCTGCTCTTTCTGTCTAAAAGTAGCTGGATCTTCCTAGCATTTGAGGAAGTTGCAAGTGCTGTTCCTCATGGTGAAGATCCTTGTTGAGCCCTTCAAAGACTCCTGCAATTATACAGAGATTATTCAGTGCCCCAATGCCCATCGCATTATGCCTTGGTAAGCAAAGAGGGGCTCTTAGAATGGTCTTAATTCACAGGAGATAGAATGTCCCAACCGAGGAGGCAAGTGTAGTGGTTTTTCTTCTCTCACTTTCAGAATCCGCTAGGGCTAGACAGGTCAGGATTAAGAACAACTCAGCTTCACTTATCATGGGAGAAATGCAAATCAAGACCACAGTGAGATACCACCTAACTCCAGTAAGAATGGCCATCATTAATAAAACAAACAACAGATAGAAAAAAAAAAAGAACTGAGATGGCCCAGATGTTTACTGTCACATTGGAAGACTCTGGAACTCCATAGAACAAAGTCTTCTCAGTTTCTCTGGAGTAAGCTTATGGGAGGTAGATTTGGGAAAACTTTGGCATGCCCTCAAACTGGTACATGGAGTTTAACCCTATGCTGGTCATAACTTCTTATCATATGTTCTGTGTGATGTTCCCATTTAGTAAGTTCTGCTTATCCAAGTAACTCAACAAATACATATAACATCTAATCAGAAAAATAGATTTTTAAAATTATTATAAAGATATGGGGTACAATTCAGGGTTAGGTATACAAGCATTGATTATGCAGCTACCCTTGTTGATGAGGTATGCCCCTCCCTCCCCTAGCAGTTTCCCTCAACTGCCAATCCCGCCTCCCCTGACAGTTTCCCATTATTGCCAAACGCTTTCTTATAGTATTATAATTATTCAGGGTCCGCTTATGAGTGAGAACATATGGTACTCTGTTCTTGGTTTCTGTGATAGATCACTGAGTATGATCGACTCCAAATCCATCCAAGTTGCTGCGAAGTCCATGTATTTGTCCTTCTTTATGGCTGCATAATATTCCATTGTGTATATATACCACATTTGTTTATCCAGTCCAGCTTCGATGGGCAACATGGTTGTTTCCATGTTTTTGCTATTGTGAATAGAGCCCCAGCAAACATACATGTGCAGATATCCTTTTTGTAGAATGATCTGAGTTCCTCCGGGTATATTCCCAATAGGGGAATTGCTGGGTCATATGGAAGGTCAATTTCTAGTTCTTTCAGAAATCACCACACTGTCTTCCAAAGAGGTTGCACTAGTTTGCATTCCCACCAGCAGTGTAGGAGCGTTCCTTTTTCTCCACATCCTCGCCAGCATCTGTTGTTGTTTGTTTTATTAATGAGGGCCCTTCTTACTGTGGTTAGATGGTATCTCAATTTTTTTGAGGTTTTGATTTGCATTTCTCTGATGATGAGTGAGGCTGAGCACTTTTTCATGTGTCTCTTCGCTGTCTGTATATCTTCTTCTGAGAAGTATCTATTCATGTCTTTTGCACACTTTTTAAGGGAGCTGTTTGTTTTTTTCCTTTCGGTGTGTTTGAGTTCCGTATAGATCCTAGATGTTAGGCCATTGTCAGATATACAGTTGGTAAATATTTTTTCCCATTCTGTGGGTTGTCTCCCTGCTTTCTTGATGGTTTCTTTTGCTTTGCAGTAGCTCGTTAGTTTGATGAGGTCCCACATGTCTATCTTCAGAAAAATAGATTTTTTAATTAAAAATAATTTTCATTTTATTACCAAGTTGTGAAGTGTAATATATGTTTCTAATGTGTTTTCTGTAGGGAAAGACTAACATTTGCTGTTTAGACTGTGCTCCTTAAAGCTATAATTGTAGAAAAATAAGTGGGAATGATGTTTCATGGATCACATCACATCTTGATAAACTGGATAATATTCAGATTCTATTATATAAAAAATAAACCACTGATCTGCATTCCAATTTTCTTTAATTATGTACAAAAATATGTTTAGGTCAGGTAAAAATCATTTTCAGGAATACACAGCTGGCATTTCTGCACTGAATTGCAAAAGATTTTCTCTCCAATCTTAGTGCTTTCCTACTCCAACCCCTGCCATGGCTTTGTAACCCTAGAGAAATATTATGTCTCATATGGCTCTATCTCAGGTCTGACCATCCTCCCACCTCCACGTCTACCTAAACTACCACCTTCTCTCATCCAGAGCTGGCCTCTCTGCTGTCTGCCCTTCCTCTTCCTGCAGTCTAACCTCAAAAGTCAGAGTGATGCTTTCAAGATGAATGAGAGATTGGGTCACCTATATGTTCCATGGTTCTCCAGTGAATTCTTATCTCAGTTAGAGTAAAAGCCTGTTTTTATGGTAACTTTCAAGACCCTAGGTTATTAGAACACCACAAAAATTTCTCATTATCTTCTTGAACCTCATCTTCTAGTCTTATTTATTCCTTCTCCACTGGTCAGCATCTGGGTAGTTTCTAGTTCCCTGCTTATGTTTCACTCTAGAATCTTATCATCATCTAATGATCTATATATTTTGCTTATTTATGCATTGTCTTTCCAAAATTTACCTCTATAATGTAAATTCTGTGAGATCAGAGATTTTTGTCTTTTTCTTCACTGCTGCATCTTGAGCACCTAGAATAGGGTGCCTGGCACCAAGTAATAGCTCACTAAATATTTGCTGAATATCTTCAAGGCCCAGATTTATTGGGACTTACCCTAAGTCACACAGGTAGCAAATGCTGGAGATAAGAGAATTAAAACCTAGAACAAGCCTTCCAGCTGTTTGGTGAGGCTAAGGGTAGAGATCAGACCTGGTGAACATAGTAGGGAGGGATGAGGAGCCTCTGGCCTTTTGGATGCCTCTCTAATTAACAGAAGTATGGGTTCTTTTGCATCTGAGAGCCTTTGCAATATGTGGCAATTTTTCTATTCCTAGTCCACAGACATCATGTCCAGACTTCTTACTCTTTGGGATAAGGTTTGGATAACTTGATTTTGCTTTCATTGTGGCACATTGCATTTTTTCCACACACACACACACAAAGCAACAGTATCTCCCCTTCCATATTTTCTTCTTAAATTGTAACCTTGACACTCTCTCATCAATAGATGGTTCTATGTTCACTTGCCTTGAATCTGAGCAGGCTTGTTATCATAGCAGAAGTTATGCTGTATGATTGTCTATGGTAGACTCTTAAAAAGGATACCGCTTCCACCTGGCTTTTCTTTGGGATACTTGCCTCTGGAGCCCTGAATTACTACATAAGAAGGCTGAGGTAACCATGCTATGAGGAAGCCCAAGCCACATGAGGAGATCACATGTACGTGTTTCAGCAGACAGCCCCAGTTGAGTCTCAGCTAATAATTAGTATCAACTACCAGATATATGAGTGAAGACACTTACAGATGATTTCTGTCCTCTATCATTGGGTTATTCCAGCTTATAAGTCATTCCAGCCAAGGCCTCAGTCATCATGGAGCAGAGAAAAGCCATATCATCATACCCTGTCCCGATTCCTGACCCATGTAAAGTTTGAGTGATGAAGTTGTTTCAAGTGACTTTTTTAAAAACCAGTACATTTTGCAGTGATTCATTATATTGTTATAGCTGTGTGCTTTCTCAGAACTGCAGTCTTGTTGAGAGTCCTCTTTGAATCTATCACTTACAAGGGAAAACCTTTATTTGTGAGTGATAAGGCTTTTAGAAAACAGCAAAGTATGAGCAAGTTTCAATTACTGGTTATAACAGAAAAGCAAAGTATAAACATTTGAAATCCATAGCTCTCCAAAAAGTCTCCATTCTTTAACTGCAATCATGTCCCTTAAAACTCTCACCAAAGCTACTGATTGAGTCATCAATGCATTTATCAGATCATCTCCTTATCCACGTTGTGGTGGAGATACAGATAAGTCAAAAGTTGACCAAAAGGCAGAGGACAGAAGAAAACATTGAGAGAAGCAATCTGCAGAATCCACTCACTGAGTATCATTCCTGGATAATGAATCTATAGCTCTAGGTATAGAAGTGTTCTTAGTTAAGATGACAGACTGTAACTCTTTTATAACATCATAAACGATCCTTGGAAAGATTTGTGCTTTAAAATATCACTTCTGCTATTTTTTTTCAGTCCAAAATGACCACCCTGCCCCCACTGCCCATGACACGCCCAAAGCTTACAGCCTTAGCCAGACAGAAGCTGCCATGCTCCCCCACGACTATTCCCAGGTAGGTGCCCCTGGTTTTCACTTCTTTTCCTACCTAATGAATTTCCTGTAGTAAGAAATGTCAATAACATATCTCAGAAAATAAAATAATTGAAAGAGAAGAATATACTGTTATGTTGAGCATATTCAAGTTTGCTGTTTCAAAAAGATTGATGAACCTCCTACAAATACTACAAATATGTTTATTAATCAAGCTAGTGCTCATTTGATCGTTTTATTTCCTATTACAGTTGTAGTATGGTTCCACTAGAGTTTTGGAGATAGGCTTCCTGTTTGTTTGTTTGTTTGTTTATGAGTAAGAGTCTCACTCTGTTGCCCAGGCTGGAGTGCAGTGGTGCACTCACTGCCACCACAACCTTGATCTGCTGAGCTCAGGTGATCTTTCTGCCTTAGCCTTGCAAGTAGCTGGAAGCACAGGTGTGCACCACCACTCTTGGCAAATTTTTTAATTCATTTTAGAGTCGAGATCTCGCCGAGTTGCCCAGGCTGTTCTCAAGCCCCTGGACTCAGGCAGTTCTCTTGGCTCCACCTCCCGAAGTGCTGGGATTACAGGCGTGAGCCACCACGCCAATAAGTTTCCTTTTTAAATGCATGCACAGAACAGAAAGCAGAAGCGTTGGGAATGAAGGGTGTGTGACTTTTAATCCACAGGTCTTGAGTGCTGACTTCTGTTTTGGAAGAAGGAAGGTAGAGTCTTATTTCTAGGGTAGATTGGCAGACATGAATTAGCTTCTGAAATGATGCAGAGGCTTGAAAATGCATCATCAAACTGCTGCTGCAGTGAATGGCGACTGAGCTACTGAAGTTGTCACTGAGAAAATGCAGGACAGAACTCGATGCATTTTATCATAATTATCAATATTAACTGAGCTTGTGCTACTTTGAAATTGCCATTTGAAGTTTTATTGACTTTTAGTAATACACAGGTTATTCACGTAATTAGTTTGCATATGTAGGTTTGATTATTTTCTTTATATGCATACTTTTCAATTCCTGCAAGGCATAATGATCAAAGTATTATGAGACTTCTTTGTTCTCATGTCTCATTTTTATTTCTGGGAAAGACCAAAGCTACTGGACCAAAATAAATACATTCAGCTAAACTAACATAAAAATTCTTTAAAAATAGTAAATCAAAATTTCTTCCTTTATAGCTGAGAAATCTGCCAAGAGATACATCATTCACATATGTGTGTTCTTAGTTTTCATTTTACTTTTGAATAATGTAAAATATGTACAAAATCTGAAAAAGCTTATTCTTTCCATCTTTTTAATGATTGAGATTACAGTTTGTTTTTAAGGTGAGTAAAAATATAGCCCAATCTCATACTCTTAAGATAAGATGAATTTTAAAGAAAGCTTTTTCTTGTATTTATTTTTGTGAAGAAAAATATTTTTATCATAACAAGGTAAGACAAAGTTTGTCTAAACATTTTAATAGCTTTTGAATAAAATATAGATATTTGTTTACTTCTATATTCCCATGGTTATAAGAGGTTAATATTTTTAAATATCTTTAAAAGTATTTTTAAAGGTGCAAGGGTGTGTAAAAAAATGAACACTCTACAAATATAATATATTTCTCAATAAAGTCTTCTTAAAAGCATTTTGCACCTTGAACCCATAATAATTTGAGTTTTATGTGTGACTGAAAAAACTATGCAAACAGCATTTCAGGGAAAAATCTAGTAATGTTTTAGAACAAACAAATTTTACACATTTGTACCAACCAAGTGTTCTTGGTTCAAGATTCTGTATATGACTTCAGTGGTTAGAAAGTTATGCTGTTAAAAATATGAGAAAAATGAAAGACCTTATAAACTTTGAGGAGAAAACTCCATTTATTTAAAAATGTGAATTACTTCAATGTGTTGGTGTTTTATTTGTTTACACACTGGGTTTAATATTCTTCCTTATCTTTTTTCCCACTCAGGGAAGTTAAACATTTGAGATTATCAATCAACAACCTAACTGTATAGCTACTGCACAGCATTTATTATATATGGTATTATACCCTGAATATTTCTGTTCTCCTGGTGGCATTTTATGTGGTTGGTAGCTTTTCAACTTGATAAGGCAGTGCTTTATTATTTCTTTCCATTTCATTTAGGTCTCAATTGATCAAAGAAAAAGATGACATAGATCATTATCTGGAGGTGAATTTCAAAGGATTGTCAAAAGAGGAGGTTGCTGCGTAAGTACAACCTCTTAAAGGTACTTTAATATAAAGTTTGTTTCTTTTGTCTTGATTCTTTATTGAAATTTCAGTTTTCCTGTGCAATATACTTTTTCATTGGAACATGGCATTTAAAAATTAAAGCTCATATTAAATAGTGATAAGTCATGTCTATTGATCTCACACATATCAAAGTCTTTAATTTTATGGCTCTCAAAATTCTTATATTTACCAAGATATTATACTATCATGTTTGTAATATTTAGTTAAGTCTGTGCCATTAATTGCTTATTAACCTTCATTTTTAAGGTGTGTTGCCTCTATGGGAAAGAAAAAAGATTTCTGAAAAAGACTTAGGTATCTTGTTTCCTGGTGATTAAAAAAAAGATCTTACTGATGTACTGATATATCTTCTATTCTCTACAAGAACTCACAAAAGAATCAATGGATCATAGTTTATTGGTTAATTTAAAAAGAATTCTAAATTGTCTGGATTTATTTTTTAAATGATCAATGTAAACTTTGCCTCTAGTTAGAATCTAATTTATAGGTTAGAATTAGAAATAAAAATTAGAAATACACTGCTTTATAAGAAACAGCATAAAAATCAATGTAGGTTAGTGAGAAATTAATGGAAACCTAAAATAATAGCTAAACAGGTTTAATATTTCTTACCTATGGGCTTAGTGACTCTGTTATTATCAACTCTTTATTTATTTCACGTGCGTGTTCGTTACATGGTCATGTTGTATAGTGGTGGGGATTGGGTCTCAGGTGGCCTATTCCCCAGATAGTAAATGTTGTGCTCTGTAGGTTGTTTCTGAACACTAACTCCCTTCCCTGCTATCCCCTCATTGGTATCCCCAGTGTCTATTATAGCCATCTTTGTGACCACTTAGCTCCCACATGAGTGAGAACATGCAATGTTTGGTTTCCTGTTTCTGAGTTAGTTTACTTAGGATGATGATCTCCAGTTCCATCCATGTGGCTGCAAAGGACATGATTTCATTCCTTTCTGTGGCTGTGTAGTATTCCATGGTGTATCTATATCACAGTTTCATTATCCACTGATTGGTTGATGGGCATTTAGGCTGATTCCTCATCTTTGCAATTGTGAATGATGCTGCAATGAATATATAATAGCCCACTAGCTATCTATAGTTATATATCTATTTGAATATATAACATAGATTTCTTATATAACGACCTCTGTTCCTTAACGTAGATATCTAGTAGTGGGACTGCTGGATCAAATGGTACATCTGCTTTTAGCTCTTTGAGTAATCTCCGTACTGCTTCCCATAGAGGTTGTACTAATTTACACTCCCACCAATAGTGTATAAGTGTTCCCTTTGCGCTCCATCTATGCTAACATCTATTGTTTTTTGAGTTTTTAAATAATGGTCATTCTGACTGGTATGAGAACATAGCTCATTGTGGTTTTAATCTGCATTTCCCTGATAATGAATGGTGTTGAGCATTTTTCCATATGTTTTTTGGCAATTTGCATATCTTCTTTTGAGAGGTATCTTTTTATGTCATTTGCCCAATTTTTTGTTTTTTATTTTTTTAGTATTTATTTTTTAATTTTAAAGTTGTGGGGTACAGTTAAGTGTTAGGTATACAAATATTCATTGTGCAGGTACCCTTGTTGATGAGGTGTGCCCCCCTTTCCCCAGACAGAGGCTTTTTTCTTGTTGGTTTGTTTGCATTCTTTGTAGATTCTGGGTATTAGTCCTTTGTCAGATTTAGAGTTTATGAATATTTTCTCCCATTTTGTAGGTTGCCTGTTTGCTCTGTTTTGCTATGCAGAAGTTTTTCAGTTTTATTAAGTCTCACTTATTTATTTTTGTTTCAGTTGCATTTACTTTCAGGGTTTTAGCCATAAGTTCTTTGCCTAGGTCAATATCCTTAAGAGTTTTTTCTGGGTTTTCTTCTAGGGTTTTTTATAGTTTCAGGTCTGACATTTAAGTCTTTAATCCATCTTGAGTTAATTTTTGTGTATGGAGAGACATAGTGATCAAGCTTCATTTTCCTGCATGTAGCTATCCAACTTTTCCAGCACCCTATTGTTGAATAGGCTGTCCTTTCCTTTCCCCACTGGTTTTGTTTTGTTTTGTTTTTGGTCAAAGACAGTTGATTGTAGGTATTTGGGTTTATTTCTGGATTCTCTATTCTGTACCATTGATCTATGTGCTGCTCTTTACTAGTACCATGCTGTTTTGGTTCCTACAACCTTGTAGTATAGTTTCAAGTAAGGTAATACATGATGCCTCCAGCTTTGGTTTTTGTTTTTGTTTTTTGCTCAGGATTATTTGGCTATTTTGTCTCTTTTTTGGTTTCATATTAATTTTAGGGTTATTTTTCCTAATTCTGTGTAAAATGACTGACATTAGTAGTTTGATAGGGATTACATTGAATCTGTAGATTACTTCGGGTAATATGGTCATTTTAATAATGTTGATTCTTCCAATTCGTGAGCATGGGATGTTTCTCCATTCATTTGTGCCCTCTGAAAGTTTTGTAGTTCTCCTTGTAGAGATCTTTCCCTCCTTGTTAAATATATTTCTAGGTATTTTAGTTTTTTGGCTGCTATTTTAAATGGAATAGAGTTCTTGGTTTGATTCTTAGCTTGGTCACTATTGGTGTATAGCAGTGCTACTGATTTGTGTGTGTTGAGTTTGCATTCAGAAATGTTACCAAATTCGTTTATCAAATCCAGAAGTCTTTTGGAGGAGTCTTTAGAAATCTCTAGGTATAAGAGCATACCATTGGCATATACAGGTAGTTTGATATCTTATTTTCCTGCTTGGATACCCTTTATTTCTTCGTCCTGCCTGATTGCTCTGGCTAGGACTTCCAGGACCACGTTGAATAATAGTGGAGAAAGTCGGCATCCTTGCGTTGTTCCAGTTCTGAGGGGGAATGTGTTTAATTTTTCTCCATTCAGGATAACATTGGTTGTGGGTTTGTCATATACAGCTTTTATTATTTTGAGAAATGTTACTTTTTTGCCTGTTTTTCTGAGGGTTTTAATCATGAAGCGATGCTGGATTTTATAAAATGCTTTTTATGCATCTATTGAAATGATTATATGGTTTTTGTTTTTAATTCTGTTTATGTAGTTGCTGACATTTATTGACTGTGTATGTTGAACCACCCTTGTATCCCTGGGATACAACCCATTTGGTTGTGATGAATTTTAAAAAATGGGCTGTTGAATTCAGTTTGCTAATATTTTGTAGAGGATTTTTGCATCTATATTCATAAGGTATTGAAGTAGGGTCCGAGCGCTTAAATTACAGACACTGACACAAAGTTATAAGTAACAAAGGGGAGGTTTATGGCCAGGTTCAGCCATGGCCAGTGACTGCTTGCTGGAGAGGATTCCAAAGCAAGGAGCACCAGCTACAACTGAGAGAAGTTTTTTTATAGACCAAAACCATATCCTGGTAGCAACAGCTACCAGGGACTTTTTAGCCAGCTAATCACAGTTGTCAAGGATTTTCCAGCTAGCTGAACTGCAATGCATAAGCAAGCTTGTTTACAGAAGCAGATTTAGCTTGTTATGCCTACAAGAGCGTGAGTCTCCAGTTTCTTCGGGGGCTTGGGGTCTGGGTCAGTTTGTCCCTTTCATATTCCTCACTCTGAGTTGTTCCTGGAGTTAATCTTTGACTCCTCATATAAGGCGTAATAGTGAGATTTGAGGACCATTATTTTGATAGGCATGATGCTATTTTTGATATTGTTAAGCAAACTTCTAACGATATGGGGCCGCACAGTAATACCTATTAAGAGCAAGAGGAGGGGGCCAGCAATTGCTGAAATTAGGGTGGTTAGTCAGGGGGACCAAGAGAAGAGGGATTGATACCAGTTTCCTGAAACCTGATTTTGTAACTCTCGCTGCCTGATGTTTTCCCTTACTTGAGTGACAGTTTCCCGTATTATTCCAGACTTATTGGCGTAGAAGCAGCAGGCTTCCCCTAAACCCATGCAAAGGCCTCCTTGTTTTATGAAGAGGAGGTCTAAGCCTCTCCTGTTTTGGAGCACTACTTCAGCCAGGGAGTTTACCTGCTTTTTTAATCGGGAAATGCTAGATTCTAGTAAGCTTAGGTTTGCATTGACTTGTGTGCTTAGTTATTTGAGGTTTTGGTCCCCCACCACCAAGGAGACTGTACCTATGACTGTAGATCCTGCAACACCCAGACTTACAAGAAGGGGCATTAGTATGAGAACGGCGCATTTAGCTCGCGGAAAACCTGGGAGCTGGAGATGCTCCCTTTCCTCTGTTCCTTGATATATATATACACACACACACACACTTGGGGTAAATTGTGTACCAGGACGCAGAGTTTCGAGGTAGCCTGAAGGTGCTGCAGGGCGACACATGGGGTGATGCCCCGCGTGCAGGCAAATCAAAGGGTGGGGGGAGCTACAGCCAATTGGGGGCTTTTAGAGTTTGGGAGGTCTGCGGCATTAATTTGGGAGGTGATGTTGCAGGATGCCTGAAGGGGGGAATTTGTTAACGGAAACTGTGGAGAATATAGGCAAGTTCCCTGCCCCTGGAGGTCCCCCAAGGTTAAAGTTGGGTGGGCACAGTCCTCGAGATTGAACTGTGGTTAGATCTAGGATCTGTATGTTTTTCTCTGTGTCTCCTATAGGGGAGACAGCCCCGATTCCCATGTAATATGGGGGGCGGGGGTCCAGGCATGGCCAGCAGTCCTTGGCCAGATCAGGGCGAGTTTCATTAATGAGCTGGTAAACTACCAATAGCATAGGAAGAAACTGATTGCTGAGTGATGGAGGTGGCACAGGGGTGTTCCCAGTGGAGGGAGATGGCATAGAGATGTTCCCAGTGGAGGGAGTGGTTAATTTGGGACCTAGTTTCCTTATAACAGGATTAGGAGGTTCGGGTACATGTAGAATGATATTGTGGATGGGTTCTACCAGGTTGAGAGTGTGGGGGGTATGTTTTCTTTGTATGGTGAATAGCATTCCGGGGTCACGTCCTGTGACAT